CATAGATGGACTCGTCCATCTGAATAACTGCCAAATCGCTCTCCGTGGTGCTAACGTTAAAAAAACGCCACTTTTTTCTAATTTTCTTGTTGTGGTTTGCACACCTGATGATGATTGCTTGTGTTGCAGTCGAAACGTCGTGAGAATTTTATTTTTTTATATTTTTATTATTTGATTGTTTCCCTTCTTCGTGACTTTACCGAAAGAACTAAGAATATGAATCCCTGCAGTCACGAAAGCTTTAAATCAAAACGCAAGTTATGTTTCTTGTTTGTATTAACAGCGTCCCATCGTTTATAGGGAGTACTCTCACATGTAATGCTGCTTCTAAACCGACAGAATGTGTTGAACCATCCTGACTGCTGATCCAGAGATCGTTTTCTTAGACAAATTCTGCTCGAAAACAGGTACAGAATGTCAAAAATCTGATGGACTTATAATTTGACACAAAATTGTCACCTTGAGGCACATTCTTCCACATATAATTTTTTATACAAACAAAAACGCCGAACATATCGTATCAAAGTAAAACTTAGACATGCAAACATGAATTTACAGTCTGTGTCAATTGTCAATAGAAGTATCAAAATGAATAGGCAAAACTACTCATTATGGAACTTACTCAAAGGACACGTTTTTTGTGCCAAGTTTCGTGTGTCAAAACTAACTTCGAACTTTAAAGATTAACAGATAAAATACGTCACTCTTAAGTGGGTTTTTTTTGTTTATCAAAAAGAAAAAACATTTCTGGCAAGTTATAAAAACGTTATGCCTCTTTACAAATAGTAGTAAATCTGGTTCCTTGATGTATGTTGCTCTTTCCACATTCTTAACGAAATATGAAATACAAACTATGATTCTAATTCTCTTAAACGGTCCAGCGTTGGACTTTTGTCATTATTATTGGCTTTATGTGTGATCCTTGAGATCTACAGACACAACTCACAATCACCGCCGTTGTCTGGTGTTACCACAATGCCCTATCATTTTGTTTGTACACGAGCACACAGACTCTGGCTCAATACAAGTGATTTTCCCACTGATATTTGGAGCATCTGTTCCAAGTATACAACTCAATTCACTCTAATGAGACAGGCTGACAATAATCTGATACAAATATGCAAAAAAAATATGTTTGGACATTAGGAGAGACCGCCTTTGATGAGAGGCTTAATCTTCTTATTGCCGTTAAGGCAGCACAAAGGATTTCCACATGGAGTCATGTTTTGTATTCACCGTTTTGTGTTATTTGTATGGGTTTATCTAGCCTTGTTGATGAGCGTTAGAAAACTAGAGGGCGGTCCCCAATGCTTTAGTGTCCGGATATTTTTACCACTGTTAAAAATGGCACGTTGAGAAATTCACTTTGGATGGGTTCACTAGTGAAGTGTGACCTCGTGTGTCTTTTTTGAAACTACATTGCAGTAAATTAATTTACCGTATGCATGAAAAACTCAGGCCAATCTACAGAATACCATTAGTATTGGTATGTAAGTGAAACGTTTGATTAAAAAAATACATTGGACCAATAAACAGTCAATGTCCCCATGGCAAAAATTAGCATTAGTGCATCCTGTCATCTTTGTTGGCAGCATATCCATAATATTGACTACCTCTGACTTTCCACAAATCGGTACTTATTTTATTGGTCCTGGATATGGCTGGAGAGGGATGCTAGCATGAGTTGACCCCAACTGGAATTTGAACTCACAGCCACGACGAGTGCTTGTGACTTGTGAGAAGAGTGTTCCGCAGAGCGGATCAATGCCACTCCAACAGAGTTGATCACGGCAATGCTGGTTACACGATATTAGTTGGGGGAAGATACATTGGTTACAATGGTTATATTGTTGAATATATAAAAAAACATACTTTGTTCAAGTTTCTGCTATTTTACTGTTACACAGCAGTTATAATTGTGATATAATCAACGTGGATTTTTTTACTTCTTTTGGGTTAAATATTGATCTTGATATCAAACTCCAACCTTGAAAACCCAAACATTTTGATCTGCTGGAAAATCATACCGTACTAGCACAGAAATGTAACAAAAGCCCCTGAGTTATTATTACGTATCTGAAAAAAATCTACCACATGCATTACGTATTTTTACATATTGAGTGCATGTGTTTGACATTTTCACTATGGCTTTGAATTTTCATATGACTTTAGCGTTTGGAAATGCCTTCAAATGCATGGGCGCTGACCAACTACAATATTATTAAGCAAATCAAACCGTATATTCTGAAAAGCCTTACCTTGATACACCCAGAAACACATGCAGAGCAATACCGCTCCGTATCCTACTGACAGGGCACACGTGCAATGGGCCCGCTGAAAGACGTTCGCGATCCTTTCCAGCTGCTTCAAATGATGGGTTTTGGTTCATGATAGCGGACACTGCGCCATCCACGTGCTTTATAGAGTCATGGTAGTGATGACCTATTTAGATTTTGATTTATATATTAACTATCACCAGCCGCCTTGTAACCTAACCTCTTAATAACTGAGGTCACGCATGAGAAAAGCCATGCTTGTTTTAAATGAACTCAAATGTACTGATCCCCTGAGGAGACTATGGGCCAATCGTTCAAGTTGCACATGGACATATTACTGGCCTTGACGCGACTCACTTTATGTGCGAAGTTAAGGGGTATTTTGTCGTCAATCATAATGTGTGTGCATTTGCCCAGGTACACACACATACAAAGCAGCCACTATGTTCTACTAAATGTCTGTCCCGGGAAAGGTGCATTTGAGGTTACAGTGAGGGAAAAGAGTATTTGATCCCCTGCTGATTTTGTACGTTTGCCAACTGACAAAGAAATGTCAGTCTTTAATTTTGATGGTAGGTTTATTTGAACAGTGAGAGACAGAATCACAAGAAAAAAATCCAGAAAAAAGCATGTCAAAAATGTTAAAAATTGATTTGCATTTTAATGAGGGAAATAAGTATTTGACCCCTCTGCAAAACATGACTTAGTACTTGGTGGCAAAACCCTTGTTGGCAATCACAGAGGTCAGACGTTTCTTGTAGTTGGCCACCAGGTTTGCACACATCTCAGGAGGGGTTTTGTCCCACTCCTCTTTGCAGATCTTCTCCAAGTCATTAAGGTTTCGAGGCTGACGTTTGGCAACTCGAACCTTCAGCTCCCTCCACAGATTTTCTATGGGGTTAAGGTCTGGAGACTTGTTAGGCCACTCCAGGACCTTAATGTGCTTCTTCTTGAGCCACTCCTTTGTTCCCTTGACCGTGTGTTTTGGGTCATTGTCATGCTGGAATACCCATCCACGACTCAGTTGAGTTGATTCCAAAGAGCTCCATTTTGATCTCATCTGACCACAACACTTTCACCCAGTTGTCCTCTGAATCATTCAGATGTTCATTGGCAAACTTCAGACGGGCATGTATATGTGCTTTCTTGAGCAGGGGGACCTTGCGGGGGCTGCAGGATTTCAGTCCTTCACGGCGTAGTGTGTTACCAATTGTTTTCTTGGTGACCATGGTCCCAGCTGCCTTGAGATCATTGACAGGATCCTCCCGTGTAGTTCTGGGCTGATTTCTCACCGTTCTCATGATCATTGCAACTCCACGAGGTGATATCTTGCATGGAGCCCCAGGCCGAGGGGGTTTGACAGTTCTTTTGTGTTTCTTCCATTTGCGAATAATCGCACCAACTGTTGTCACCTTCTCACCAAGCTGCTTGGCAATGGTCTTGTAGCCCATTTCAGCCTTGTGTAGGTCTACAATCTTGTCCCTGACATCCTTGGAGAGCTCTTTGGTCTTGGCCATGGTAGAGAGTTTGGAATCTGATTGATTGATTGCTTCTGTGGACAGGTGCCTTTCATACAGGTAACAAGCTGAGATTAGGAGCACTCCCTTTAAGAGTGTGCTCATAATCTCAGCCCGTTACCTGTATAAAAGACACCTGGGAGCCAGAAATCTTTCTGATTGAGAGGGGGTCAAATACTTATTTCCCTCATTAAAATTCAAATCAATTTATAACATTTTTGACATGCGTTTTTCTGGATTTTTTTGTTGTTATTCTGTCTCTCACTGTTTAAATAAACCTACCATTAAATTATAGACTGATCATTTCTTTGTCAGTGGGCAAACGTGCAATTTTTTTTTCAGTTTATTTATTTTGGTATAACCCCGTGAGCCATTCGGCTCTTGAATCGGGTGCAACCACAACAAACAAAAAAAACAAAAACACAAACAAGAAAAACATCTTAAAGTGACTATGTGACTGTGCAGGGGATCAAATACTTTTTTCCCTCACTGTATGTGAACTCGCAAAAGATTGTTGGCAAGTCAGAGGATGCATCCAGGTATTATGAAATCACACTTACGCACATGCCAGAAACATTTATTACACTGTAATTTACTTACAAAGTCAGATTACAAAGTCATATTCTTGATTACCTGTCAGCATATATGTTTGATATTAATTTAGCGCTGCTAGTCTTAGGCCTCCCAAATTCACGTCAGTTATGTGGGTTTAACAATAGGGTTTTTCCCCTTTTTTCCGGCAACAAAACTGAAACTTTTTTTTACAAGGATTCACGTCTGTATTAACCACAATACCTGCAGTCAAATGCAAACAAAAAACATACTATGATAATATATGCATTGTCCTTGAAACTGATTGGTCCACACCAAGGGACGGCTTTTTTTTGAGCCTCGACCCAATTGGTGCTCGACCAGATGACCTTACTTCACCATGCTGGTTAATGCAGGTTGCTGAAGGGTGGGAAACTCAGGACCAGTTCAAATATTACTCGCCACACATCGTAGCAGTGGTCGGGGATCGAACTCAGACGGCAAGGTTCATAAAGCGATGCACAAAACGAATGCACACTGTTCCACCCCAACAATTATCCAGCTGCACACACATATATATAGCATTTGCCAATGGACACCACTTTACAACTCAGTGATCTGCCACTCGACCTGGTGCTCAGGTGCCCCGTGATCGCTCGCACACACCTGCACACACCTGCTCTGTGCCGGGGGTGAACGGCGGCCGGGAAATACGCCAGCCGGCGCGTGTCCCCTTCCGACACCAACTGCGGTGAGGCCCTTCAACTCGTTTGCTTCTCTCAGTGCTCCCCCCCCCCCCCCCCCCGTGAGTCCTCGATGGGTCACTCCGCTTGGCACGTGCCCTCTCCCCCCACCCCAGCCCTCTCCCAGCATTACGTGAAAAACGCACTGTGCTCAGTCGCCCATCTGGCGTGTATTGGCAAGCGAGTGTCACAGCACACCCGGGAAACAAAACTAACGGAAAACTTGCAAACAGTGATGAGTCAATTAGCGAACTGGGTGGAGAATGGAGCACAGGCTGGCGACATTGCGAGCGATCATGGGGCACCGGTTTGGCTGTGGACACAGACCATTGCAAATCATCTCTTACCGCAAACATAGTTGGTAAGATGCAGGCCCGGGATACAGTTTGCTTGGTGACTTGTTTCCAGGACAATGAAAGAGCAGTTTGTTGGAAACAAAATGGCACGATGGTATGGCTCGCTGAACGCCGCACGAATTTTGATGGTTGGATACCTTTTTAGAATTTGATTTCTGCGCCCAAAGGCAGCAGGGAATGCAGTAATGCAAACAGTATAACATACATAAATGCGCACACGCACCCGTACATTCACACATTTCCAAACTGTGTCAGAATTGTCTTTGGCAATTTCGATGCTTAGGAGACATTCTCAGATTGTTGTGCTTGAGCATTACAAATGTAATGCAATGGCATGTGTCCAAATGATTTGAGTCATATATGAAGAGGTGAGGGTGCTCACCCGGTTGAACAGATGTCTCACCTGTTTCAACAAAATAAGCTTGAAACTTGAGAAGGATGTTGATTCGACCCTCTTGTCATAAGGTTTCAAACTTTTGCGGTCAACAAATTTGAACGGCCTTACAGGCAGTGGCGGTGCTAGGCAATGCTGGGGTGGGGCCCTCTTGCACCACCGAGTCTCCCTCTGGCCGGCCCAAGTTCCCTCTCCTTAGCGGTGCATCACTGTTACGGTGGAGGATCTTGGAAGCAGGCCTGCTTATACATAGTAGCGGCATATGAGTGAGACCGTGAGTTCGTCCGACCACAGTTTCAGAATTACAATAATTTTAAGAACACAGAAAATTACTCCCATAAACATCCTTGGTAGATGTGGGCATGATGGCATTGTTAGCTTCCTATTCCTTCAGCCGTCAATGTATTTTTTGAGAAAAAATATTTGGGAAACATTGAGAGTGACTCAAGAAACATGACTTTCTGTTCAATATTCTGCAATACATTGAAAGGTTTTTACAGCATATTGGGTTTCTTTATTTTCATTACTGGTAATTTATTTGTGGAGTATGGTCCTTGGCAAACTTAGTGCAAGTAGAATTAATTAGTTTTACAAATTCAATTTTCATTTACAAATAGCATAATGTACCAGCAACTGTGTGTGTGTACATACTGTGACACGTAAAGAGAGGGAGGGCAGCCATGCTACTTGCTAGAAACTCTTGACCATCCTGATTGTACTTCAGGAGACCCGTTACTGCAGCATTTGCAATTTCAGTCAAAAAGGGTGTATTCCATTCTGACATTAGCCCTGCCACCGTTGCAGCCTGCCCACCGCTAATGAACTTCAATGGGTATACCATTGGGTTTTTCCTGGTCTCGGAGACAAAAATCTGACCCTCATCCCATTTTCTAGGGAGTCCCTCGGGGGGGGGGGCTCTTTCGTATGGTCCATTCTTTTTTTCTCCAGATTTACATGAGCAGTGTTCCCACCAGAAGGTTCACTATTGAGTCGTGACGTTCACGCATGGCACCGAATTCCTTGCAATTTGGTACATTTCCACCATGACGTAAAGAATGACTCATTTTGGAAATGGCTTTTTAACACTATCTCTTGTCTACTCAAATTATTCCAATTTAGTCCCATGACCCTCAGAATATGTAAAGCGTTCGGGTTCACCACTCACCTCAAGCAACCATTTTATTAAACATTTTACCATAATCCTCTGTTACCTAAATTTGAGGATATCGTGAAAAAATGCTTTAGCCTGGCACAACGAGTTTGAAATCTGGAGTGATTTCGCTCAGTTCTTAGAAGCCTAACAACGATTCTCCTAAATCTGGTCGCATGTCTTGTGTCACGCAATGACGAATACAGTTACATTTTTATTAGAGTAGAGAGTAAAATGGCAAGATGATGTAGGTCCCCGAAATGAGATATTTTTTTTCTTGGTCAGCAACTGCTGAGAGGTAGAGTGGAGATGTGGTGAAGTAGCAGCAATGTGTGCATGTGTGCCAGCACTTTATTAAAAAATAACCCGCCAACATTCCATGGATGAGAGATGTGTACCGGCATGTTTGTAGGCACTATATATATACACACACACACACACGCGCGCGCCCAGAGTGGTGCACTTCCAAACTAAGGATAAAATTAGGGAGACCTTGTTTTTCCTGACAGCCAGACATAGTCTGCCTTCGCCGTGGAAAAAAAATAGCTCTTTATTCCGTGTCTTGCTTCGTGATTAATTAGGTTTAGATTTGTATCTCGCGCTTTGGTGAAATTGAGCTCGCTCACTTTCTCTCATGAGGTCACCTGACACTGGCACATTAATAAAAAAAAACATAATTGTTACTTTTTTGACGAAGCCACCAGAGCAATTGGTTTGTTATCGAGTGTCAACTCAGCCCATCATCCCACCCCGCAGAGTTGATCTAAATTCGTGCCACTTTGCTAGGAGTCAGCGGCAGATGTCTTATGGATGGATTGGCTCCCACCATAGGAATGTGGAATTCCCACAACTGGCTCGTGGTCACAAATGGAGATGAATTCATCCAACACTCATATGAGCAGGTCAGCCTTTAATTTTCACGACTCCCTCAGCAAATAGAGACCTTAACGTCCCTGCAATGTAATCTTCTGGGAATAACCCTGTAACTTGTTGTCCATTGGTTACCTCTTTCACGAGGTCATGTGTGTGTGTGCGTCAATCTTCACATGCAGACTTTATGACGCATTGATTTTATTGCATTCAAACTATAAAGCTTCCCGTACATTACTCATCCATTTTGCTTCCCACAGCTTTGCACCCTGGGCAACTGCCCTGATTGCCCACCCCTAAGGCCAGCCCCGTGAGCACAAGATACCCTTTACAAATCGTCTTGGCAGATTAATGATACGCTCCGTTATGCCGAAGCGGTGTATTGCCAACAGTGTGCGCGTGTGATACACTCTCAACACCTGTGAGCCATCCAGGTGAAGAAGCTTGAGTGTTGTTTAAACAATCGGTCGTGTTCACAATCGCTTCAGAGTAAAGTGAGTTGGTCAGGTGGCTCAGAGATGAGAAAGCTGAGCTGGGTTTTAAGCGGGGCTGTCGCCCACAATGGAAGTGAGTTCTCAAGTGTAGCGAATTGACGGTCGCAGCCTCGTCCCAAATTACGTCACGTGCAAAAAAAACCCCAATCAAATTAGTGTTTTTGTACTTTTCTGAGGATTATAAACAACAACAATGATAACATTGTTCCAGAATATCATAGGAGAGCATGTGGGAACGTGCGTCCCCTGTTGTGCATTGAATGAAATGGTCACTTGAACGATTTATTTTGGAAAGGACCTCTGAAAGCTCACCTACTACAGGCCGATCTTTGAGATGTATACTGCTCCGTGAGACTTGTGAATGGATTCTTCATCTCAGGACATTAAGCCAATACGCACGATTGGAATACGTTATGAAAAAATAATTTTACATTTAAGAGACCTTCCGAGGAGAATGTATCAGACGATTGTCCAGTATTAATGCATCATCAAATGTTCCCCCTGCATTCAAATCATCAGACAGGGGTACTCCTAACTGTCAGGGTTGGCAGTAGCAACCATACAAAACATGTATTCTTCAGCAGGCTTTACTGTCTGACCATAATGGTGAAGTATGGTTATCTTAGTCTCTTGGAGTGACAACTCTACGAATGAATGCGATCATTAGGGGAAAAAACACCACCACTGTGCTGAGATGAGGTCCCTCAGGCAGTGCGTCCTGTCATTTATGACATTTGGATCTGTAATGATCATCATAACATGCGAAACCCTTTCAAATATACATGGAACAATGCACTATTTAGAAATCACTAACCGAATATCTTTAAGTATTGTGAAGGGAGCGTGAATCGGCCATCATTCTTCTGGGTTACCAAATGCAAATGATGTTGAGTGGGACTCATTGTCAGATGTGGCAGAAATAAATGAACAAAGTTATCGATTCGTGAGGAAATCGTAGTGAACGCAGCAGCTGCTAGAGGGACTGAGTGATCGAGTAAGGGTGCCTCTACAAGGAAGATGAACTGCAGCAGCTTGAGTTCAAATAACTGATTCAAAGTATCATACGGAGGTCTTCATAGAGAAATAATATTACTGGTTTCTACACACACCGCAGGAAAGCCTGCACTGAGCCTCGTGACTAATTTTCACTTGGGTCGTGCTTGGGAATTACTGCAATGTGTGTGGAAGTGACAGGAGAAAGCGTACAGTACTCATAACGAGCGGCACCCACTCGAATTTGCATACAGAAATGGAAAAACAAAAACTCCTTACTCGACTGCCATCTACAAATGTCCTCAGTCGTGCTGCAGAGTGTTCCACATCTGACTTGTTGAAATGAAAAGGTGCAACTGCGGTGGGGAAGGGAATAAGGTTAGTGGGGACTTGGTTGTACATCACGAACACACGTTCAAATTCAGTTTATTGTACAACCAAATTCTAAGGGTTTGTGATGAAGATGTTTGAGCCAATGATATAAGACAGTGATCTGGCAAGAGTTTTGCCAATTGCCCACACCAGGTGTGACCAGTTGAGTAATCTAGTAATTAACTTGTGGCTGTGCTCCATTCGTTTACATCATCATTATTGGTCACGCGCAGTGCGGAGAATTTGTTAAACCTGTGCCAGGTCACTTGTTTCTCAAAATTGGAGCACTGCCTTGTTGTGTGTACAAGTGGACGGGTGGGGGGGGGGGGGGAAGAAATAAACAGATACAGCGAGCAAGAGAAAAAAAACGAATTGAGAGACAGACGCAGTTAAATGGTAAACATA